CTACATATCCTATAACTTTGAGAGTTTCTCAAGGTTCATTCCTCGGCCCTTTAATCTTTTTAATTTACATTAACAATCTTCAAAATATTCTTAAATCTAAGATGGCATTGCTTGCTAATGATACTACAATTTATTCTTTTCTTGATAAAAAGCAAACACTCTCTGATTGCTTGGTGTGGGAACTTAAGCTTGAAAAAGAAATCACTTCTGCTACAGCATGGGGTTCACAGTGGCTGGTGATCTTTAATTCAGGTAAAACCTAATTTTTTTTTTCAGCAAATTGTTATCGCAATAAATTAGATCTTCCTATATTTATGAATGGTATTGTACTTAATGAGTCTTTTACAATTCATCTTCTAGGATTAACCATTACTTCCGATCTTTTTTGGAAACCGTATATCAAATTCATTGCAAAAATAGGATATTTAAAGGTTGCATATCTTTATCGTGCTCAACGCTTTCTTACTCCAAATTCTATTTTTTAACTCTATTAATCTCAAATCTGTCCTTGTACGGAATACTGTAGCCATATCTGGGACATTTCTTCTAATGATGCCAATTCTCTTTTAGACAAGGTACAAAAACACATTGTAAACAAAGTTGGACCAGCTCTTGGTCCAACTTTGTTTACAACCATTTTCACATCGTCGTTATGTTGCTTCTTTTTCTATAAAGACTTTAATAGGTACTGCTCTAAAGAGCGTCTCTTATGCCATCTACAAATATTCATTTTCATGTTACTTGCCATTCAATTAAATCTCATCTTTTTCTGTGGCTGTTCCTAAGGGCCACTAAAACTTTTATTCGCCTAGGTTTTTTCCTTGAACACTGATGGTCTAAAGTTTAAAGAACAAATGAAGAACAACCCTTTAGTGCTGCAAAGTGTCAAGTAAGATAGTCTGCATAAAGTGGCGCTACCATTAATGTTGTTAGGATGTTGGCATCTCCATAAAGAAGAGGTCAAGTGGTATATTATTATGGCGCCCAAGTTTGTTTCAGTGTCAAAAAAAAAAAAAATAAATAAATAAAGCAAGCTAAAAAAAGTCCCGTAAACCATTTCATTTGATGCTATCTCAGCAGCAAAGGCAGGGCAACATATATTTTTGCCCAGGGATTTGTCTTGGCTGATGATGACAATTTAAGACGTATGGTATAAAATGATGATATTGCATGTTAAAACATGTGAGAAAAGCATTATTCAATATTGAACAAAAGCAAATGTTAACCTAAGAAGTTGTTCTTAAACAAGCCATTAATTAAAGATTTAGGCCATGTGAAGACAGCATTAATATGCAAAATTTAGATTATTTTGCTGAAAAATGCTTATAACAGAGCCTTTAAAAATAAAAAAAAATCTTTAAAAGTGTTTTTGCCAATTTTCAATTTTAGTAATAACCTATAAATGTAATATCTTTATATTGGCTAATTATTTGCGCCTGAAATTTTTAGGGTATCCTCAGTATGCTTCAGAAAATTGTTTAACAATTTGGATTTTAAATATACCTGTTAAATTTTTTAAATAAGAAATTAGTTTACATGTCAAATCACCTATTAGTTCAAGCAAATTTTTATTAATTCTTGATTAAATTTAAAATATGCCCTTAAACTAAAAAACCATTTATGTCACTAAGCCTGACAGGAAAATATTTCAGCAAATTCAATTTTAAACACTTTTTCTACCATTATAGATAAAAAACTATATTGATTTAAGAAAAATTTATATTTCGATTATTATTTAAAATAGTGTTTCAACAGAAATATACAAGTTTTTTATTTTGTCTATATTTTTTATTAAAAAGTGAATTTTTGTAGAGTACTACCTTATATCAACTGATGATTTTCTAAACTTTGTCTAAACTAAAAATACTATCTCTTTCAAAAGTCATTAATTTGTTTAAATTAGAAAAGAAAACTAAAATAAAATAAAAACAGTTTATTTTTACAAATTATTTAAAATAAATTTAAAAATTTCAAACTTTAAAATAAAAGTAAAACTTTTAAAATAAGACGTAGAAGATTGTATATAATTCCATATAAAATATTTTTTACATTTACAATTTTAAATTTACATAAGTAACATATTTATATATCTATATATATTACCTATTTTCTATAAATAAAAAAGTTCAATAAAACCTTTTCTTGACATTTACAAATAAAATTGTCTCTGGATCAAATCGAAAGAGTTGTTGTTATTTTTGATGTTATATTGCAAGGTTAATTCACCACTGTGTCTTAAAACAGCCAGAAATTAGACAACTTTTAAGCTACCACACTACCATACTTTATTGACTACATACAAATAGCATTTTAAAATCAATACACAAGTATACATGACTTATTAAAGACTAACTGATCAGGTTTAAACATAGTAAAAAGCCATGGAGCTCAGTACACAAGGGTTTCCTGATCCTTGCAACTTTGAAAAACAATTTTGAAATAGCTGCAACGCCATGAGGGTAGACTCATAGGCCTTGTATGCACCAAGCTTTAATTTTCATTGATTACAAACACAAATTATTCTTTAATACAAGTTGTTAGAAAATTATTTGTTTTGAGTCAATAATCAACTTAATTTAGATATAAAAAACAAAACTAGTTGTTTCTTTTTATGCAATTGTTCATTAAAAAGAAAATTTATAAAACTGAAAAACTTTGTCAACTTTTGTCATGCTGAAGATCAATAAAAAAAGTTAAAAACTATATGAGGATGAAACTATGATTTCATCTTTTCATTCAGACTTGTGTGTAGTATATATGTATATATATTTTACATATATATATATATATATATATATATATATATATATATATATATATATATATATATATATATATATATATATATATATATATATATATATATATATATATATATATATATATATATATATATATATATATATATATATCAAATATATATACCTGATATATTATGCACATATACAAGATAAATGTATTAAATATATTCAAGCTATTTATTGGTAATAATAAGTTTCAATACAACTCTTAGATGTTGAAAAATAGAAATCAGTTATTAAAATTGAAAGCTAATAAAAAATGAAAACCTCATTAAAGAGTTTATTCAAAAAAAGAAATATATTTATAACACCATGCATAGTATCTTCTTATTTTTTGATAGCTAATATTACTCTGCGAAAAATATTTTAATGGCTGAACTAAATCAATATAAACAGCAAAAGGCAATTAAATTATAAAAATATTATAAAAACCTCTTTATAGAAACTCTACCTTGTGATGTAGCTTTTCTATACATTATGTGTCGGAATTCTATCATTTAAGTAGTATTTCTATACCGCGTCAAGTTTCTATACAAATTTGTTGTATTTCTATACAGTTTTTATAGAAACTCTACACATTCTTTTTGTCATCATCATTGTCATCATCATTATCATCATCATAATTTCATGACATAAAAATATAAAGATAGATATGTAACTTTGTTATCTTTAATCACTTCACTTATTTGAGGCAGATAACATTTTTTCAAAACTGTTGTCTGTCTGATAGTCATGTCTGATGATAGTCATGTCTGATGATAGTCATGTCTGATGATGTCATGTCTGATGATTAATAACAAAATTTATAATATCAAAAAATAAAACTTAAAAGCTTTTTTTAAACAGAAAACTTTTAACAATAAAAAAGTTAAAAAGAGCTAAAATTAATACATAACTTAAAATGTAAGTCAAACTGTAAAGAATGTAAAAGATAAAATAAGTTTAAAATAACCTTGTCAAAAAAAAATTAACCTTGTAAATTTGAATAGCATACTCGGCTCAGAAAAATTCTATGTTTTTTATATTTAAATTTAAAAAATTTTCGGTTTTGAAAGATCAGAAGTAAGAGTTGACTTAAAAGATGAAGAGAATCTGACTCGTCGAGTACATCACTGTTCTTAAATATAGGAAATCTATATTATTGCGGTAACGATTGGCTTAAAAAATTGGGTTTTATTGGTGTAAAAAATTGGTAAAACGAGAAGATCGAAATCCATATTGATGATCAAAAAGTTGTTAGATTCAAGATGAGAGATAAAGTGTTTGTTAATTAAAGATTCAAATACCTTGTTTATGATAGGAAGAAGACTAATGGGACAGTAGTTGAATGAGTCAGATCGCTCTCCAGAATTTTTGAAAATAGGGATAACAAATGCCACTCTCTAGCAGACTGGAAAACAAGACTGTAATAGGTACTTGTTAAATAGTTTTGAAAGTATAGACAACAACTCCTGAGAACACTTTAGGGAATCACTTTAGATACAGAAGCTGGAGAGATAACAATATCAAACAATGGATCAATCTGTTTGTTGGCTATAACAGGCAGAAGACAACAAGTGGAATCAAGAGATGATATTGATGAAAAGTTCTTAGCAAAGAATTCAGCTTTGTCTTTAGGTGAGGTGACAAAATCTGAACTGTGAAACAGAGGCGGAATAACAGATTTGTCCTTATTATTGATACTGTTAAAGATTCTCCAGAAGTCATGAGAACTTAATTTTTGAAATGAAATCAAGATGCGGGCTTTAGCGCTTATGTGGAAAGCTTTGCAGCAACTTTATGTTGAACCTCTGAAGGCTAAACTAAAATGTTTGGGTCACAAAAAGCATCTCATAGGTTCATCTTATCTTGCCTCGCTGCTCTAAAGTATCAGCTCTAAAGTATCTATCTTAAAAGCTTTTTGGGTATTGTTATGAATTCAATTTTAATTAATTTATTTTGATAATTGTACTGAAGTGGCATGTGTTAACTGTTCCTTGAACTTTACCTGACCACTTATCTCTTACTTGCTGGATACTTTATTGAACTTGATAGCTTATTATAACAAACTTGACTGCTTAATTTATCAAACTTTTTTGATAAAGTAAGCAAACACGGTCGTATAACATTACCTTTATAAAGTTAAATCCTATATATTTAATATTATATAAAGCATTATATATCTTTTTTTCATTGTTTTTTATTTTTGTTTTATTTTAGAAGGACTAACAATGACAAAACTGTGGTTATTAGAAACTTTACAAAACCTTGCAAAGAAAGTAAATGTTCAAGAACTAGATTGTGAAATGGTAACCATAAATGCGTTTCTTTCACTTATGGAGTTTAAGGAAGAAATGATATACCCTGAGGTTTGTTTTGCGTTTAGGTTGTATTTTTAATTATCAAATTAGTTTACTTGTATTACTATTTTGCTTTTTTTTTTTTAGACTTTACTATTAGACGAGTGTCGTCTGCAGGCGCTTGCTGATTCATTTGATAAATTATCATTTATTTCTGCGATAATGACCTTATATGTAAACTTTATAGGTGCTGGTGAAGATTTAAAACTTCTTGATAAAATTAAAGAAGAAATTTTGATTATATTTGGAAATAATGAAAGGTTAAAATATTTTCAGTATTTTATAAAATTAGAAGTGTTTGATGTTTCTAATTTCGTTGATAGAAAGAAAAAATTATCTTAATTTCAGTTAATTATAGAGGTATCGTATTTTGTATTTTGTGAAGATGATTGTTTCACTTTTCCTATTGAAGATTTAATTACCAAAATTTTATAAGTTCTTCCAATATTTATGGAATTTATTATAAATATTTGTACCTTTGTAGTTATTGGTGAATTTAGATGTTTAATGATAATTAATAATATTTATTACGAGTCTTGAATAATTTGTTTCATTTTTTTTTTATATATAGAACCACTTCTCTGTTGGAAAATGTTTATCATCACCTTATTTTTTCACTTGATAAACTTAGGACTGATAGAGGTCTTCAGCCAAAGGGAGACACGAGTATATTACTTGGCCAAATAAAAAATTTAGCAAATAAAGACGACTCATTTCGGAAACTGATAAGTAAATTTTTTTGTTTGTTTGTAACTTTATTTTTTCACTTTTTTGTTATGTTTAAAATGATTTAATGAAGTTTTTCAATTTAAGCAATGAATTTTTTTAGTATCTCGTTTCCGTGATTTCGTTTTATTAACATTTTCGGGAAATGTTATACCTTCAATCAGTGGTTGTTTACATTGGGTGCAAACTGAATTGAAAATGACAACAGAAAGTTTTGTACGAATTTGTAAACACAATAAAAATGTTCACCAGGAGCGATATAATAAAGTTATTGACATAGCTTTAAACGATTTACGACGGTCGTCAGTAATGTAATTAAACAATTTATGACGGCCCTCTAATATAATTCTTAATTTTTTCGTGGGTGATTGTAAAGTTTCCTTATCATTTTCGAGTTTCTTTGTTATACCAAGTCTACTTATCTTTCAATATTTTTTTTAAAACTGTTTAAAAGTGTAAATAGGAAAGTATTTATTTGAAATATTGTTCATAGTTTTATCTCGTCGATTAAAATACATATTTTACATAGTTTTTGAGCTTTCTACTTGAAAATTAAAAAAAAAAAGTAAAAATTCAAAAGCAATTTCAAATTATCATTAAAAAATGTCTGTTTTTAAAGAACTTTTTTTATCAACCTCAGGAATCATGTCAGTTTGATATGTCCTTCTTTCTTTTTTGCTATTTTTTTTTTAGATAAAACTTTCTCATCAGTTTTGAGAATCACCTAATTTTATTCGTATATTTATAGAATTATTACTATCATTTATAATTTATTAAAGTATCTTATATACAGTTTAATAAATTTTTTATTTTTTATTAATACTAAAAGTTATGCATATTGAAATATAATTTGCTTAATATTAAATATTGAAATAGAAATAGAATAAACTTTGTTGTAAATAATATTTGCTATATTATTGATATCATGTAAGGATGCACAAATTAAATAATCGTAACTTTAGTTGGGTTTCTAATAATAGTCGGTCCAAGGTTACTTGGTGCTTTTTTTTTTTTATTATTATTTTTTTGGAATCGTTTGATGGAGTAATCCATAGAGTAACTTTAATATAAAACAATTTTGTTTAAAATGTTTGCGTTTAAAATGTTTATATTTAAAATGCTCGTAGCTTTTATCAGTAAAACGTTGTTTTTTTGCCAAAAAAGAAAAAAAATTTATTTCACATTTATCATCTTGACAATATATTTTTTCTATTGACAGCAATATAATAATAAATAAAATATTTTTTTTTAGCTTAAAATTATGTAATATTTATTAATTTTTAAGTTCCCATCAAAAAAAAATGCTCCTATCAAAAAAACAAAACAATGAAAAGTAAAATAGTTGCAATGCAAAATCATCTGGCATCCTATTTATAAATGTATATCTATTTGTGCAAAAGCAACTAAAGTAAATTATGTTTTGCTATGAATGAAATAATTTCGCTCTTTTTTTTTTATAGAAAATTCTAATTGGTTATGTTTACAAGAAATGAGAGGAAAATTGTTCTAAAAATAAGCTTTTAATCAGTAAATTTAAAAGTATAGCAGGCCCTATATTTTCCTATGCGAGAAAACATTACTTTTAAAATAGAAGCTTAAACTCTGGTTCTTTTTCCTGATATTTAATATATATATATATATATATATATATATATATATATATATATATATATATATATATATATATATATATATATAATGACAATGTAATGGATAAAAAGTTCTATCCATTACAGTAAATTTAATGTTATAAAATAATACTGATTAAAAAATTTTTTTAGTATATTTTACAATTAAAACAAACATAACTAATGTCATCATTGATAAATATAGAAAATGCAAAAGTGTTTAAAGACAGTTTTGCAGTTTCTGCTATTCCAATTAAAACATAAATTGCGACTTAATAATTATCTTGTTCTATCTTCACATTTTTTTTGAGATAAAACGATTTAAAAAATAAAAACTTTAGACGATGGAATATAAAAGTTTTTTTACAACTTATGTTTTCTCCGCAATTTTTTTTGTACAACTTAGGTTTCAATACAGAAGAAAAACTTTATTCTGAGGTACAGAACACACTCAATAACTCATAAAACAAGATAATTCTAATTTCGCGAAATGGCATTGTACCATAAAGTATATTTTGTTTATTGTGATTCTATAACCAGGGCATTTTACAACCGCAAAAATTCGATATTTTATTGTAGCAACAAATTTTAGAAGTCACTATAAAACTACATGGTTTTGCAGAGCTAAAATAACTACTTCAAAATTTGATATATTCGTCGCCAGTTCATTTTTCATTTGAATAGAAAACAGAAATTTTACTAATCCAAGTGACTTGAAGAGAATTCACATTGTCTTTGTATTCTTTGCAAATACTCCGTGGTATATTAAACTACTTGCGTGATGCATTTCATTGTTCATATTTCAGTTGTTTATCAGTGACACATTTCAGTTACATATCCGTGACGGCTCCAACATTTTTTGGTGTTTGAGATGGCTAACTTCCAGAAAGAGAGCAAACTCCAAACATTTGTATGTTTATAATTATGTCTAATAATGAAAATTTGCAAAAAAATACGATGATTGGAGGCTGTGAACAAAAAAAAGCCAAAAAACTTTATTTTAAATTTTTCCACTAGAGTTATTTAATGGATGGAGCTGTTAATCATATCTATAATAATATATTTGTTAATCATATCTATAATGATATAGATATGTTAAACATATCTATAAAGAAATGTGGCGGTGAAAATAAAGTTACTAAAGTTTCAATAACTCTGAACATTTCAAAAGACGTTCAAAACAATGCTTTTAATGGAAATGCTTCCAGAAAAATCCTAAAAAATTACAATAATTACATGCTTACATTACCAATTAACTTCAAACCACTGACAGATGGGCGTAGAATTTCGAACAATTTGGCAAAGTCTTGTTTTGAACAAACACTACATCATGACTTTCAAACACATATCATAAACTTTGAGGATCACCAGAGAATACTTAATGAAGATTATAGAATAACTGTTTCATTGAAAACTCATGTTATTTTAAAACATATAGGTGTTTTTTGTGCAGAGGTTGTGAATTGGGTTACTACTCTTTTCTCTGTACTACTCTAAGCAAGCTTTTGAAGCAATTCATTACAGCTTTCCTAGTGAATCTTGAAAGAAACAGATTCAAAGTTACAAAAAAAACTTCTTAGCTGAATATTTGAAAAAATCTGTAATCAGATTTATTTGCTCTGAGAAAATATTCTTTAACTTAATTATAACTTTTTTATTGTCACAAAGTATATTAAATTCATTAATTAGCAGTATCTAATTATATTATACATTAGTTTATATCCATGACATGGGTTTGTATTTTACAAATGATATATTTATGACAGTCAATCCAAATGATGTATTCAATTTTATGACTGCCTTATTTTGGGTAAAGGCCTTAACTATAAAGCAATTTTAAAGCTACAACTTTTGAACAATTAATAATTTTCTATTATAAATAGTGTAAAAAATAATTATAATAATAAAAAACTTATTTCCATGCATTTTGGGCAAAAATTCCTGAACCTAAAACGTCCTGTTTTTAGAGGCCCTTGTGGACCCCAAAAACGTAAATATTTTAGTAAAAGGAATTTTGTGATTTCATTGACATATTAATCCTAAATCTACTCATCCTAACGAATCTAACGATGTATGACAAAGTCCTGTGTCAAATCACAAAACTAAAAAGTGGTTTTTACAATGCAAATAGAAAATTTTTATGTAATTTATTTTATGTATTTTAATTTATAATAACCCGGTGTTAAATCGGCTAGCGAATAGCTAACTATAATCGTTTCGATAAAGACAGCGATTTGCCCACGAGGATCGCTAGCTTTTTTAAGTTAGCGAAAAGCTATCGATATTTGTAAAGATAAAGACAGCGATTTGGCTACGAGGACAGCTAGCTTAATAAGGTAAAGACTTACAGGCTATTATAGCTACTGTCATATCGTAATAAAATCGCAATCAAAAAAATTTTTGTATGTAGCTATCAACCAACTATAGATTTATAGATATTTTGTAGCTAGCTACAAAGCTACGATATGTAGCTAGCGACACATTGCTACAAAATCGCAATGTTTAAAGTTCAATTATTCTCATAATTATAATCAAACTAAAAACCGAATTTTTAAAGATGTTATAGACATTAGTAAAGAATGAAATAAGAAAAAAAAAAATCGCTTGAAAATCGCTATAAAGCTAGCTAGTCGCTAGCTCATTTCCCACCGGGAATGTATTTAAATGTTTCAAGGTTCTCAATGATAAGACTTATTTTAGTCTTCTACGAGTTTTCTATGACAGCATAATCTTATCAAGTCTTTCATAATATATCTAAATAATGCTTCTTAAAATTTATTTATTTTTACATACATCTTAGCGGTATTTTGCAAAACCAATCAATCATTTTATATATTATATTAGTAAATTTTGTGTGTGTATTTTAACTTTTTGTGTACAATGCCATAGTATGCTATCCGCGATGCGTGCAATTAATATACAATACCGTATATATTTATGTATTGAAAGTAACTTTGTTTCTATTTTAAACTTAAAAAATTGTTAATAAAAACATAACTATTTTCTTTGAAACATTTACCGCTGAATATAGAAGAATCAGGCAAACAGTTTCAAAAGGTGTATTTTTCGTGTCCATGATTTCTTTCTGTAAATAAGCCAGTTTTGAAATTTTCACTAAAAAAAGCAACATGGCTTAATTACAAATATATTAAATTAATTCAATTCCTTTTCTTAGCTCTTCGTTATATTTATAAAAAAACCAAATAAATTTCTTCATTTTTTAAATTACTAAATTATGAGATGATATCAAATTTATAACTACTGATTGTATTTTTTCATCTATGGTTTTTCATTTTTTAAATCTTGCATTTAATTAAACCCAACTGAAGTATACTTTTTGTACCCAACTGAAGTATACTTAATGCTGGGGTAGCTTTTGAAAGCCTCCTAAATAGTCGTAAAGATGTTTCCATTTAAAATGACCACCTGGTCTTAAAAAAAATTTAACTTTCTCCGAATAAAACTATTTGCAACAAATACAAAATACTTTAGGATCACTGTACATGACAATTATTTTAAAAATATTTATTACAGTTTTTCATGACTCTACATCACGCTAATGGTGGAAAACACTGATTTATTGAATCATTGGAAAATACAAACTTATTTTTTCTTATCATCTGGGGCCGTATTCTCTTTATTAAGCTTAAAGAAGCGTTAAAAAAAAATTATATACATTAATAAAAAAGTTCTTAAAAAATATAATTTTATAAAGATAAACTTTTATTTATAGTATTAAAGTTATTTACAAAAATTTAAATTGCGTTTTCGTCATTTCTTTATTTAGAAATATTGTAATAATTTATTTAGAAATATTGTAATAATTTTCAGACAAAAGCTCCGTTAAATTTAACAGAGAGAAGTGAATACGGCTGCAAACTTTTATAAATATTTATAGTAAATAAATAAAATAATGTTCGAAAATTTTTTTTTGCTTTTTGATTTAAAATTTTGGAGCTGTTCATACTTGATGTCACGCTAAAACTTTTAAATAGAAATGGAAGATAAGAGGACATCCATAAATGATGTCAGTAAGTATAGGGGGGAGAGGATACTGAAAGTTTGACAATAATTTACGATGGGGAGGGGGCGTTAACACCAAAATATTTTAAAGATTTTAAAGGTATTTACATCTGCAATGTGGTATAGAGATGGTAATTTGCATTGTGGGGAATTTGATACAAGTTTCCCAGAGACATTAAAAAAAATAAAAAATTTGCCGATGTTTTATTATTGCATTACCATTTGACTGCACATCTAATTGTTTACAAGTATCAACTAACTGTATATAAAATTAACAATCGCTATTCGCTCCGTAGCGGATTATAAAATGCGGTTTAAAGCAAATACATAAAATCATTTGTCGTTATTTCAAATAAAAAACCCTAACTGCTCTCTAGCGGCTTGTAAAATGTTATGCAATTCAAACAGATATAGTCATTATTGCAAATACAAAATGGTAATTTCTCTTCAGCGGCTTTAACTTCTTAACTGTGTCAGACGGATATATCCGTCACTGCAAGGTATAGCTCTCTTTGTGTCTGACGGATAATGCTAGTGAAACCTTTTTTTTTAGTAAAATCCTTACAATTTTTGGCACACTATACGAAAAAAAAAATAACAGCTTGTAATAATTTTAAACAGATATATTTTGCAAACAGATATATATATGATGTAACTTTTTAATCTACGCCACAGTTAAAAGGTTAAACATTATTTTAAACAGCTTGTGGTGTTTAAATAAATTTTTAAACAGGAGCATAATCATTGTTTTGATTGTAATGTAAACAATAATGATAAATCAATAATATAAATATGGATAAAGCCGTTTCTTGAAGAATAACCTCGACGCCCTTTTCATGAACGTTCCAGGACGCAGTGTGACAAGTGGCACCTTCTGATTCTTCCACAGATAGCATTACGGAACTCATCTTGTTTCTCAAAATAATTACATATATACATTGAAAAAGTTAATTTGTAATATATAAAATAATTTTTAACCTAAACACTTTTTTAAATCAAGCAGGACAATAAGTGAAGATTTAAAAAACAATAATTTAGGTTTTGCCGGACAGATTTTAGCAGATACTTGGTCTGACCTAAAAATTGATGGTTATCCAACCATTTCAGAGTATATTTATCTAGAGCAATCAGAGTTAGAGTCAAGAAACCTTTTATTATAAGATCAACGTTGGATTGCCCAGCATCTTTGATCGAGTCAATATTTCCCAATCTTCTACACAAAATTTGTTTATATATTATAATATACTTGGGCTCCCGCAGGATACTTTGATGTTTTAATAGGGGAACACGGGGCAAGATGACGGACGTTTTGGAAAACGCCTACATCTTAGTCAATAACTGTCCCAATAATCAAAACTTGATTTGATTATTGGGACTTGAAGCAATAAAAAATCACTTCGCGTCACTGATGTATCAAAAAACCATTCTAAAAGTTAAAATAGTTGAGGAAAAACTCATTAACCAATGTTAACTCATATCGTCATCTTGCCCTCGTATAGGGGGCAAGATGACGATATGAGTTAACAATGTTTAAGACTTTAAAAAAAAAAAAACTATGAGAAGCAATAAACGCCTCAAAAAACCATCATCAAATTCTTGTTTATAAAAAAAGTAATACAAAGAGAGGTGTAATTTTTAAAACTTATAAATTATATGTTTATATCGAACTATGCAAAAAAAAAAAAAAAAATATCCTAGTAATCAGTTTGTAGCAAACTCCAACGCAACAAAATAAATCTGTTTTCAAACAAAATATTCTATTTCGTAATAAAATAATAGATAAACAATTCAAGAATAGCAAACAGTACAAGTAAACTTCCGTTTAACATAGATGACGGACAAATCATCTTGCCCCGGTCATCTTGCCCCAGCCTAATACAATATTTAAAATGAATTAGAATTATACACGATCAAGTTATCATAGCCTAATACTTCTTGTATGGCTTCTAGCTTAATCAAACTAAATGAAATTTTCTCGCTTAGCTTAGCTGGTGATGTAGCAATAAATAAAGTCAAACGGGGATAAAAAAATTTTTCTCAACGTCGGAAAAATCTTTTCAATACTTATCTTTCGTCACAAAAGTAATATTTTAAACATAAATAAATCTAGTAAATATAATCTACTTCCCTTTCAGACCTGGGAACAAAAACTCCCTAAGATGTTTGCTCCTCCCCGACCCAAACGTGAGGGCACTGATGAAGTAAATTCTTAACTTTATTATCTCAAACTGATTTTAAGTTTATCAACAGATTTTAAACTTCATTAAAAAATATTGATAATTACAAAAGTTACGACCATGCAAAATTTACAACCCCCTCATTTTTTATAAGGAATTTGGGGAGGGGGGGTGGAGTCAGAAAATTTGCATGGTCATAACTTTTGTATTTTACAATATTTTTTAAAATTTGTTGATGAATTTAAATTTAGTTTAAAATAATTTTTGCTACATCAGTGGTCTCAAGTTTGGGCCGTGGAGGGTCAAACGTTTTAGGGCTGGTTTGTTCCCAGCCCTCCACCATCTCAATTTTTTGAAAAACCTCTTCATTTGGCATAACATGCTTAAGTTTGAAATTTGTGTGAAAGTGTCTTATCTGAAACATCAAAAAATTCTGAGGGCACCCACGATTGTATATATAGTATTGTATAACCCAACTCAAAGAAATTTTTTTTTAATTTGAATTTTCATTTTTTACCAGGAAATCTGTTTAAGTTTAACATTTTACATTGCAACAAGATTTGACACTGTTTAAGATTATTTTAAAATCGTATTTATATAGCGCGTTTACTGATTTCATCATCTAAAGTTTGAATTTTAATACGAGTTTTAATTTTTAAATTTATTGTACTTCTATACCAAATGATATCACCAAAAGCAAAAAACATAAACTAAACCATGTTAAAAAACCGCACGCCTTAAACGTATAACAAACTGCATCGCACAAAACACTAACTTACTATTTACAATTTCTTAAATTACCTTTATTGGCAATAAGCCCAGGATAGAATTTTGCTCAACGCACAAACGAACGCATTAATGCCTACAATGTGCAGTTAACAAGTCTGTGTGCAACTGAGCGTTAAACTTTTTAATTTAATATTCTTCTATTAAGTAGGAGCTTTTTAAAATGCAATCTTGCTAAATAATGTTGCGTCTTACAATTTATTTGGCGTTTCTTATTTTCAAGATTTCATTGGGTAAGTGAGTTTTTCTTTCCGTTAGTGTTGAAAATGAGTTTGTTGTGTAAAGGTTTTAAAAAATAATATATGAATACATACATTTTTATTGTCCTTTTGATTCTTTTTATTAATCTTTCAAACGGTAAGTTGTTATTATTGGAGCTTATTAAGTGAATGTGCTACAAATATAGTGCAAAATGAATTTCATTGGAATGCCGGAGAAGCTTCTAAGATGTCTTGCATTGCACCTCAAAATTGCTCTTCGTGTACTCTGAAGAAGCGATCCGATAAAAGAAACAATTTTACTGATTTAGGAAAAGTTAGCGATTTGGAGGTGAGTAAAAACAAAGTTCTAAAACGTCTTTTTTGCATAAAATTTTTGTGTATTTTTTTTCCCACGGTCTATACTGAGGTAGGCCGTAGAGAAAGACAATTTCCTTTATAATATCAAAATCTAAACTTCTTTTTGTGTGTATATCAAACTGACAGGATGTCCTCTCCTCTAATATTTTTAAAAATATTCGACTTTCAAAAATATTCAACTTTCAAAAATATTCAAATTGTAGTTATAGTATATTAAGTATAATAATTTTAGAAAAAATCACTTTCTGCAATCACGTACGGACATAATAAAATAACTAGATATTATATTAGAATAAAAGTTTAAAAAATTTGAACAGATAATCTAACTGAGGAGCTTTAGAAGTTAAAAGTTTGGTAAATAAAGGTTTGTAGATAATTAGGAAAAGAACAGAATTTTTTTATTAGTTTACAACGAAGTAGAAGTGGTTAATTTCACTCAGCCAAAATACTGTGCGTGTTTAACAACCATGATTTTTTTAAACAAATATGAGTGCTTGAGTAAGAAAAGAAAGCATACCGTATGCATAAAGTTTAAGCAATTATGAGTGCTTGAGTAAGAAAAGAAAGCATACCGTATACATAAAGTTTAAACAAATATGAGTGCTTGAGTAAGAAAAGAAAGCATACCGTATACATAAAGTCTACTTTATGATGTAATTGTAACAACTCATATATCTTTCTTGAGATAAACCTAATTAATTAAATATAAAATTTATAATTTATATGTATTTATTAATTATTAACTTTTTTTTAGTTTTAGAATTATTTAAATAAATTAAAAGTGATAAATTATTGTTAACTTTAATAATTATACTAAGTTATAACATTGAAGTACAAAACAGATCCATGTTATAATAGTCATACATAAACCCTAATAGTATACTTAGGAGTCACCGTTTTCGGTGTTTGAGCTAACTTTCAGACATGGAGCAAACTCCAAACGAGTTTATAAAAATTTGACTTGTTACTATCAAGTAGGGCTAGCAAGGGAAGGGTCAAATTTTATATAAATTTTTGTCAAAAACAATAAGCTATCCGAAAATAAAATTCTACCCGAAAATAAAATTCTTCTACCCGAAAATAAAATTCTTGACATTATTTTCTAAACTGTATTCATCTGATTGCATTTCCCAATGACACGCCAAAAGCTCAAAAAATAAATTATAATTATTCACTGCAGTTTTTAAGATAAGTACTTCGCTTTATTGAACTATGGAATAACTTCTTAAAATAATTTAAATAATCCTTAATAAAAACAAAATACTGTTAAATTCTTCTTCATTTGTTAACAAAGCTAAACCTTGTAAACTTTAGTGAAATTTCAATATCGCTTTTTTCAAATTCAAAATGTTATTGTATTACATTCGTCAATACAAATTGATGAAGCCATTTGCGTCATGATTTATATTTTCAAAAGTGATAAAGTTGATATTTAAAAATAGACGATACTTTGTCTGACTTTGGCGCACGAAGTTTAGGAGAAAACTTAGTTTAATCAAGGACGTATTAATTAGATCTATTTATATATTATTTATTAGATTATGTTTATTAGATTATGTTTATTAAACTATTAATTAGATTTATTTAATCTATTTATACGTCCTTGGTTTAATTAATCATGCTGAAGTGTCATTTTTGACGGGAGTACAAAAGCGCTTATATTTATTTTAGTTATACCAAGCTTCATTTTCTAGGATGTCTTGGAAACCAAAAATATTGTTGAGTTTACACTTTATTGCCTCATTTGATTGATCAAACGGTATGGTGGTATTTTACTCCGTCGATAGATAAAATCTATAAATTAAATAGTTTAAAAAACTTTCAATATTTGACATACGTCTTGAGGAATACGTCTTTAAAAGCTTTAAAAACAACATATGCGTTTTTTACGGCTTATATAAAGCGTATTTACGGCTTAAGCTTGAATTAGAATATAAAAAAAGCTCACAACATTACGGTCTGGTATCAAAAACTCAACATGATTTTGTTTTCAAGAAGTGCCTGACGAACCTTTTCGAGACACTCAATATTAATTGCCGAAACTCATAACATTACTTTTTAAATATAAACTTATTTTAAATTGAAGTATTTAAAAATATTTTTAACGCTTAGCGGTTTCTTGATGACAAGACTATCGGTCTTCTGCAAGTTTCCCGCGTTCTTTAAAGTAATTTTTAATACGTTACAGTTTATTTTATTCATTCTTTGTATAACGTATTTTTTTTTTTTTTTAATTTTACTATACTCTGTGAACGATTATATTATATATTTCGAATTTATAAAAATTAAAGAGCAAAAAATTAAAACAAAAAAAAAATACTACAACAGAAGCTATGTACCAGGGATACGTTAAAGACATAATATTCACGGATCTGGAAAAAGCCTTTGATAAATTCCACAAAAAACTCCTCCATAAACTTCAAAACTACGGAATCAAAACATGGCTCTTAGGAAGACGGTATAGAGTTGTAGTTGGAGAACACACCTCAAATTGGAAAAATAATACCAGCGGCGTACCACGTTCAGTTTTAAGACCATTACTGTTTGTTCTGTACATCAACGATCATTTAGACAAATTAGAACATTATAGCAAGCTCTAAGCTGATGATAGTAAGATTATTGGTTTCATAAAATTGGACCGGGATGCCGACCTCTTTAAAGCAGGTATAAACAAAAGCGTTCACTTTACATTTGTTAATATTGAATCAAAGATGATTCAATATCAAGAAATGTAAAGTGATGCATACAGGCCGAGGTAAAAAAATATCAACACAAAAGTATTTTATGCTAGGGCAAGACGGTTAGACACTTGCACGTGAGGTTACTCATTTAGAAAGAGATCTAATTTTTGAAGACCTCAAAATCAAAGCTAAAGTTACGGCAGCTACTGCTAAAACCAACCGATTGTTAGTGAGCCTAAAAAAACTTTTGAAATCGTAGCTTATCACTGTGGAAAGAGCTGTACACCATGTATGTTCGACTTCACCTTTAGTACGCCATCCAGGCATAGTCGCCATACCAGCAAGGAGACATGCGCTGGAGTCTATAACCGTGCTAACAAAAAAACTTTTATCAAACATAAACCCCTGAGGAAAAAAGAGCTATGTTAGGCTTCACAATACTCGAAGAGAGAGAAAAAGAGGTAATTTAATCCAGATTTTTAAATACATGAACAAAATTGACGAAATAAACTTCCACGTATCACTGAGTCGCCCATCATTATCGAAGTACATTATGCAAGGTCATAATCAACGACTAGCAAAGCAACGAGTACTGGACTGCATGCAGAGAGTGAAATTCTTTACAAAACATGTTGTATCCCAGTGGAATATACTGCCGCAAACAGTAATTAACGCAACCTTGGTTGACACGTTTAAAAATCGGTAAAAGAGAAATTGGTAAAAAGCATAAAAGCGTAATGTATTTTAATATATTAGTAGGGAACGCAACTTGTGTGACAGATCTTCACAAGTATCAGTACAGAGGTGTTTGATGCAGCACATTTTCGTTGATAATTTTTAAACAAAAATTAGCAAACATTATTTTTTTATTTTTTAAGATATAAAATTTTTACGGATAGTTGTAAGTATTCAAAATTATTGACCAATGAAATAAACTAAACTAAACAAACATAACAGCTTCATGATCTTCTTTAACAGACCTCAATCATTTAGAACACTTAGTATATTGCAGTCATTCGTTATTAAATTTAGAAGTCTTTTTTGTTTTTTTGTTTCTGTAGTTCATTCCATCATATTATAACTTTAATCATTAATTATTTGTGTAATATGAAATAGAAATAAATTACTATGCCTAAATATAATGTATAAACAATAAAAAAATTTAAATAATGTTTTAAGTTTGCAACTTAAATAAGGTAGTAGCTACAATTTACTACTAAGTATACTGTAGATACTAAATAACTACAAATAGAAGCAACGCGAGTAGTAGTGTCAAGTGGTGGTGTGAGGTTTTTGCCGACTTAAAATAAGGTATACTAATTCTCCAATTTTGCGACTAGAGATAAATAACTCGAGCTTTACCGCTTTACTTATTATACCAAATGAACATAAAAAGGGTTCTAATCTGCCGACTAAAGATACAAAAAAGTTTTTTAATAATTAGTCAAGCGCCGCGCTTGACTAATTATTAAAAAAATATTTTAAAAATATCAATAACGTTTTTTGATAGCCTTTGTTTTTTTTGAATTCGATTTATTCATTTCTAAAGTATAAGGTGAAATAAGACTTGTAATATCTTTGCAGAAATGGCAGTATCTCAGCAGAAAATTTAATAACGGAAAGTTTTTTTTTTTTATATGTGATAAGTTTAATATTAACTTGGGGTTAGTGTCTCCCAGTACGGTAAACTTTTGGTGTCACCCCTCAAGACTAACAGGGCCGACGACCCCCTAGACTAACAGGGCCGACGACAGGGGCTTTGAGTTTCTAAAAAAAGAAAAAGTCCTTTAAAAAAAAAGTGGAGAAGAAAAAACGAAAAAATGGCATAGTTGTTAATAAAGAAAATCAAAAAATCAAAATCTGAAAACTATTAGTATTAGGCCGAACGCAAAAATAAATTAAAACAAGTAAAAAATCTGCATATATGACAGTTCTGTCATATATGCAGATTTTTAATTTTGGTGTCACCCCCCTGTGCCAGGTCGTAATGGTTTCTTCCAATCCGGCCCGCATATTTTATCTGATAGCTGATTTTGAATGAGACTTTGGCGCGTAAGTTGAAATCCAAACAATTTTCAATGTGCGATTGAATAATAAAAAGTGAAATTGAAAAATTGCATTAAAAAGTTGCAAAAAATCGCAAAAAGTGACTTTCGCAATACTTCCTTAAAAATAAAGATTCAAAAAAAGTATTTTGTGTTCCTTTTGGTTTTTATAACTCTAAGATAAAAAAGAAGCTATTGTAACAAACTGAAAACCAGATGTCGAAACTTGACAATGCTGTGATTCTCATACAATAGATTTGTTGAAACTAATTTCTAATTACCTAATTTCTTTTCAGAACTTTTCAATAATTACTTCCATATAAAAATTATATATATTTCTGAATCTTTTAAGTTTGATATTATTGTTTATTGGTTGTTATAGCTAGCCAAGGTAATTTTCAACACTCTCAAATTAAAAGCAATTGTGAGCAAAAGCTGGATTGCCTTTGGTATTGCATAACAATCAAATATTTCAAAACATAATGGAGCTTAATAAGAAAAAGTCTATAACCTGGTGTCCACTAGTGTGTTTTGATAGAACCAATAATATTGTTGTAATTAAACACTAGTGTGTTTTGATATAGTAAATTGATAACCAAATGGAATAACTCTTAACTTATCACACCTTTATGAAGAACTAAGTGTAAAAAGATAGAAACAAGAAAAATTGCAAACATACAAATTTATGTTGTTGTTTATATCAATTTCAAAAGTCAATACGTATTAAACACGTTAGTGGATATATAGCTGTTAACTTAAACAAAGTATTGGTTGTTGTATTCTAAAATTAGTAAAAAATGTTTATCCTCTAATAGCAACTGATGGTAAATGATATTAAAGCAACAAACTTTGATAAATTTTATGTCTGTACTAGAAAAATGAAAAAAAAAAAACTTAAATAAAACGTATTCCATATTTTCAAATGTTAAGGTTAGTTTCATTATGTAATTTTTGATATAACCAATAAAATTTTTTTTTTTTTTAATGTTTAATCCTTTATAATTAATAAGTTAGTACAAAGATGCAGTAACAAACTTTGAACAACCTCAGCTCCAGCTTTTTACACTTTGCATACTTAAAGTACTTTACCAGTAGTCTGGTACAACAGCATATAAGGTTTGTATTGAGTACTTTTGAATCTTAAAGTTTACTTCATAGAAAACGTAATTCATGAAATAAGGACATTACCTTTGACGAGAAACACACTTAGAAATCTTTTCAAATTTACAATTTAGCCCTCAAATTGATAGGAGTTTGAATTTTATATGGTCATAATTTTTGAAAACAAAAAGTTATTGTATAAAACTTAAAATTTATCAATGAGTATAAACTTTGTTGATAATAATAAAAAATGTTTTTTATCCACTTGTTACCCTCGTGTTTGGCGTAGATAAATAGTGGTGGGGTCTGAAAGTTAGCAAACAACAAAAAATGCTGCATCTGTCCCTGTATTATATTTTTTATTTTGTGAAAGTGTTGCAATAAAAGTTTTTAAGATTACCATCAATAAATAACGTAGTTATCTATAGCATGTTTTACTTGTTTTAAATGATCACATATTTAATATTTGCTTGATTCTGGGTAACTGTTGTTTATGTTTTTAAATAGAGGGGCAGTGCACAACATGATTTAATCAGGTTTTGCACAGCGCTTCCTCGCATAAAAACTCAAATGTTAACAACCTAATATAAGAAATCTTATTAAATAATATTCAAATAGGTATGTGCTCTACTGTGCTGTGAAATAGAAGTTTGCGATCTTGCTTTACTTGAAAATGAACGTTGCTACTCAGTTTCATGTTATAGTGAAGATTCATGTGAGACTGAGTTAGTACCTGTCAAGAACAAAAATAGTTTAAAAACTGATATAATAAAATTCAGAAGAAAATCTGGAAGTGATGTGTGGAGTTCTGGTAAGAATAAACTTTTCACCTATTTTATATATATACATTCATACAAAAAACACGAAAAAAGTTTGATAGGTGATTTTTTCCATATATATATATATATATATATATATATATATATATATATATATATATATATATATATATATATATATATATATATATATATATATATATATATATATATATATATATATATATATATATATATTTATATATATATATATATATTTATATATATATATATATATATATATATATATATATATATATATATATATATATATATATATATATATATATATATATACATATATATATATATATATATATATATATATATATATATATATATATATATATATATATATATATATCTGAATACCTTTATATTAAACATGATTTTGTTTAAATTATGTTGTTATATTTATAGAATTATAAGATTTTATTATGTAAAAGATTTTAATTTTTGCTCTAAAAATGGGGTTCAAATTCGGAGGCTTGAGGGACCTCAGGATCACTTATCAAAAATCTGTAAAAATTATTTGAGACATGTTTTTGATAGTATAATGCAAAAAACTTCACTTCACGACGTTTTGACACTTCATACTAATCCTGGACAACCCTAATAAATGGTTTAACGGAAAGATTGGCATTTGGCCATTTATGAAGCAAGAGTTTGCGAAGAAAAAAAGTAAGAATCGAAGTAATGGAACACTAGTTACAACTCCAATTTTTGTAGATAAATTTGATATCTTAATATGTTTTCAAACAAGGTTTTATCGACCACATGTTTAAAATAGCCAGAAAATTGAAAAGACTAAAACTATTTTTATACAACAGAACAATGCGAAACTGCAATAAAATGTAATAACTAATACAAATTAAAACATGTTATCTTGTAAAAATGGTATGAAGGTCTAAAACCTTTTTTTAAAAACTCTTTTGTCAAATCATGTCACCAAAAAAATGACTAGTCAGTGACAAACACAGTTTATCAGGGGGAACCATTTTTTCCGGCAACGTGGGGTGTGTGTTAATGTTTAAAATCAACATTTTGAATTTTTAATCAACATTTTGAAAAAATATTAAAATAATACGCCTAATAATTACGCTTATTAAACGCTTATTTTTCTTATAGTCTTCGAATTGTCTATATATAATACGACATATAGACAAAAATTATTTGAATGGCGTAGTGTTTGTAAAAACTTGAAAAATTTCAATTACTGGGATTTGGGTTTGTATAACTAAAATAATGCTGGAACTTCCCGGAATTTCCCGGGGAGTTCCAGCATTATTTTATGCTTTAAAACTAAAAGAAAAGCCATAATCTAATCAAATATATTGTAGTAAAATGAATAAAACTTGTACATAAAGTTATTTATTTTGTCTTTAGAAAATAGGCTCGTAAAAAGCTCAAACTATCTAAACTGGTATCACTTAAGCGACTTCTTATTTTATTGCAAAATAGTCCTGGAGAGGAAATGCCCTTTCTGACTCTACGCTAGTTGAGTTAATCGTCATTAAAAATCATAAACTTTCTAAAGACACCCCGAGTACAACCACTTTCAAACTGTAACATTTCTTTTGATGTTTTTGGGGTGAGAGCTTCGGCTAATTTTGACGAAGAATTCCTGGGTGTTGCTAAAAAACTTTTTACTAGGGCTTCATTTAGTTAGTCATTAATAGTTTTCAACATTTCATTATTTATGCTTTTTCATAATCTTCTTCATTTACTAAATCTTCAACGTTGTCCAAGGAATTTGATGGGTGATTTAAATTTGTTACATTTAATCTATTTAGAAGCTTCAACAAAATTTTTTTTCTAAATTTGAAGATGTTTCAAAAACTTCGCCTATGGGCATTAATTTGTTTTCTCCGTAATGTAGATAGTGCAGTAGACTAAATTAAATATTTAGTCTTTTGCTCTTTGATTCTGGAGGCTAGTGCATTAAAAAATTGATAACTTGTTGTAGTATTCAGTACTTTTAATTTAGTTAGCATAAACGCAATGTCAGCAGTTATAAGGTTTGCATCGCATCAACAAAGCGCTTTCACTGCTGCTTTTACTGTAATTAGCACGTTTTTAAGTTCAGAAATAATTTCATACGTTATATGACATTTTTACTACTTTAATACTTTTAATACTAATACATCATTAATATTGATATCAACAAGCGCCTTTTTAATGCAGTTTTTTAACTTATGAAATCTTTCAAGCGTTGATATTAAGCTGTTCCATCTTGTTTTACAATCTTTGATTAAATGAAGGTTTTTTCCGAAATCATTTTGTACGCATTTTTGAAGGCAGTAATCATTTTTAGTTAATGATCTTTTAAAAACCATCAGGATTTTTCTAAATTTATTAATCACAAGACCAATCACTTTGTTTGCAATTATTATGTCTTCAATTATTTGATTATCCACTATAAAGCAACTCTCATCACCATCCTCATCGCTATCTGATTCACAGCTTTCACTAAATTCAGATTCATTTTCCAAATTTTCTATGTGATAGTCAACTTTCTCGACTAAATGTCTCTACGTATGATTTGATGGTGACGTATTATATAAAACTGAAATAATAGCCAGTTAAATACCGTGAGCAAAGCATTGTTGTTGATTGATCTGTAATAGTTTTCCGATTTTTTTCATTAATCTGGCTCCGTCTGCCATTATGCATACAATACTGTTTTCAAGATTTAAACCAAACGAGTTTTTCTTTCAGTAAAATTACACACTTTTCAGCTTGCATTTTCCCTACCTTTTCAGCAGGCATTTTCTCTACAACCCTTACTGAACCGAAATTCAAAAAAATGTCTCTACCGTGTAAATTGATATTCAAATAACAGGTATTTTGGTTCGACGTCCACTCATCAAAAGGAATTGAAAACTTAGTTTCACTGTTAGTTTTTAATCTTAATTCATTTCTTATAAAATTCTTTATATTGTTAGAGAAATCTAATACCATTTTTTAAACAGTGTTTACAGATTTAGGTATGTTGACAAATCGACCCATAGCCAGCCTAGTACGTATATCAATAGAAGTGCATATTACATTAAATGAAATAAGATAGGATATCTTTAGCTGCTAATCCTGCAAGTTAATCTCAGACAAGCTGTTAATCTCAGACAAGTTACCTTCTTTATTCATATTCAATGAAAAATATAAATTAATTTTTTTTTTTTTACTTTGTGTTTCTTCTTCTGTTGTCGGGGAATGTGTCAGTTTTTCTTTTAATTAATTGAAGTAGATGCGAATGAAGAGATTTTGTTGATCCGCCATTAATTCTCAATATTTTTTTGCAATGTCTTACACATTGCTGTTTCACTTTCTTTGTTGCGCAGACAATGTTTCCATACAAGGGTTTTGCTGTTGAGCTCTAAGAAATTTGATATGGTATCTTAATTTGACGAATCAAAGAAATTATAAGAATTTTTAACTATTTTAACTTTCTTATTTTTTGAATTTTTGAATTTCAATAAAATTAAATAAATACACTAGTATTACAAAAACGCAATACAAATCAATACAAATAAGTTTTTAATTTTTTTCCTATTATTGTTCTTATTATTGTTATCGTTCTTATTATTTATATTATTATTATAATTATATTATTATTTAGTTTTAATGATTAAAATTAGTTTCTTACTATTTCCTAAAAAACGCGTCAGTTATGGTCACAATATGTAACATTGACAAACCTACTATAAACAAGTATTAATCTGTAAACGAATTTTGTGATTTCTAAATCCGGGGATATTTTAAAAATAATCCCGGAAATTAGGGGTTATAAAATTAGATGGATTCCCGGGATCCGGGATTACAAACCCTAGAAAAGCGTTTAATAAGCGTTTTTTTACTATATTTTTTCATTTCGATTTAAATATTAGCAATTCCGTTCATTTAACTTTTAATAAAGGTAATAATTTTCACAGCACTTTGTAAGGCGCCTTCAAAATAAATGAGATAATTACGGTAAACTTAATGATTAAAAATATTACATATGTTAAATTAGTTACGTTTAATAAGGATTTTTTTTTAAATTAATATAACTTAAACTTAAATAAAATTAAGTTGTTGTAATTGTTTTTTTATTATTATTATTGAAGTTGTAAAAAATTTAAAGAGAGGCAAAACTTTCTGAAAAAGATTTTGTTTTCTTTTTTTCGTTTTCAATAAGTAAAATAAAATAGCAAGCCAAGGATCAAAGTTCATTTATTCAAAAATTAAGTTTGCGCAATTACATTGTTATTGCGCAATTTGTTATTACGACTGAAATTTTTATTTTTATTCATTTTTTATTAAAACTAGTTAACTCTTAATTCCCAACCAGGGTTGCCAGAACTTTCTACATGTTAAATGCCAAATGTTGAAAAAAATGAATTTTTACAAAACATTCATTGTTTCTATTTCCATTTAATCCATGTCAGGAATCCAAGTAACATCATCATTGTCCGAGTCGATGCTGTCTGAGTAAATACTTGAATTAAATTTAGTAAACATTTTGCTTGTGATCTTTAAATCTTTGCAGTATTTTTTGCGGCTGGCAAGGTAGGATTTGATCCGTACCTCTGACTTAAGTAGTTTTAATGACATTCTGTTTCTTTGTTTGCTCTAAATATATGTGACTTGAGAAAAGACGCGTTCAAGAAGACATTTGAGATAGGAAGGAAAAAACAATTTAAGCGATAATCAGCCAACTCAAGAAAAGATGCATCTCCAGAAGCACACACACCAATCGTCAGCTTTGTATACAGGGACTACTAAAACAACGGGACGCAAAACTCTTATTTCATGTAGTTTTGATGACAGGGCCGATGAAAAAAATTCCGAAACACTTTAATTATTAAACGATAATATAATTATCAATAGAAATTTAACCAAAAAATTTTATGGCTTAATTATTTATCACAGTTTTCAACAAAAATTAAACTGTGTAGATGAAATCTTAGAAATAAAGCAACTTTTTACAAAGAAACTGTAAACTATCTGTAAATCATTTTTAAAGACTCTTTTAATTAATTAAGTAATCATTACTTATTATACATTATATTGTTATATTGATTATTATATATTATATTCATATCATAGTAATAAACATAATTACCAATAAATTTTAAATCAAATAAATGTAAAACCATAAATACATTTTAAAACATTAATAATTAGATCACCAACAAAAACTAAACCCGGTGGGAAATGAGCAAGCGACTAGCAAGCTCTATAGCGATTTTCAAGCGATTTTTTTTTTCTTATTTTATTTTTTGCAAATGTCTTTAACATCTTGAAAAATTCGATTTTTAATGTTGAGTCTATTATAATTATGAAAATAATTGAACTTTAAACATTGCGATTTTGTAGCAATGTGTCGCTAGCTACATATCGTAGCTTTGTAGCTAGCTACAAAATATCTACAAATCTATAGCTGGTTGATAGCTACATATCAAAATTTTTTAGACAACGATTTTATTACGATATGACGCTAGGTACAATAGCCAGTGGATCTTCAGCTTATTAAGCTAGCTGTCCTCGTATCCAAATCGCTGTCTTTATCTTTAAAAATATCGATAGATTTTCGCTAACTTAAAAAAGCTAGCGATCCTCGTGGGCAAATTGCTGTCTTTATCGTAACGATTATAGCTAGCTATTCGCTAGCCGATTTCACACCGGGAAAGATCAGACCACTAAGAATTAAGTTTCTTTTTCTGTCTTCAATGTTTAATAAAACAATAGCAGATGTATCATCAAGGGTCGTAACACCATCTAACACCTTTCAATAAACAGTTATTATTGAGATTTTTTA